ACGTAACGTAACGAACGTAACGAACGAACGTAACGTAACGTAAACGGTAACGTAACCGTAACCTAACCTAACCTAACCAACCTAACTAACTAATAGTAGTAGACGTCTCTCTCTCTCTCTCTCTCTCTCTCTCTCTCTCTCTCTCTCTCTCTCTCTCTCTCTTCCTTCCTTCCTTCTTGATTTTGTTTTCAATGGTTGTTTGCTTCTTGATTTTCTCACCAGCAACTTCAGAGTTAGGCTAGAGCAAAAAAGAATTCATAGGATCCCTAACCTGAGGTCTCTTATGCCCCCTACCCCCAGATCCAATTACAACTCCCTTTCCTTTCCTAGACTGGGACATAGCAAGCTTCTCAACCTCATCACACCCCTCCTCATCACTCTCATCATCATCATAAACATGAACCCCAAACCTTAGCTTTGCTATGTGTGCCGAGTTTTCCTTTTTTTTCTTTTTTACTAGATTTATATGAATTTTTATCTCCTCCTTAATCACATCAAAAACCTTTTTACAAGGAGCAACATCCCCCTAATATCGACAAGATGTTTCTTGAAGCGATTTATACCGTCATTTGTATCTTTCTCAAAATAATTGCATCTTATGCAATTTTTATATAAAGGATTCAAGCTATAGTTGTATTTCTCACCACTTCATTAGAACCCGAAGAAGACATCTCAAAATATTCTAAGCAATCTGAAAAACAAAATTTTTTCACTAAACTTGATTGCTTGATCTTCAAACTTCCACCTTTGAGATGTTTCCAAATCTCAAAATCTTCTTAAAAACTCTCTAATAGGCTTAAAAAATCTCCAAAAGTAAATCCAGACTCAAAGGGAGCTGTTTGGGTAGATTTCTTGGAACTTTGAGAAATCCTTCCATCTTATGGAATCACAAATTTTCAATTTTTTGTAGTTTTATCTCTCTGGTTCAAATGAGGTTTAGGTTGCTTAAGAACCTAAACCCCCCTTACAATTAAAATTATTTGTAGTATTGGCTAGGCAGCAGGCGCTCAGGGACCCCTCGCCCAAGGGGGCCGCCTAGGCCTGGGCAATGTGCCCAAAGCCCCCTTACCCGCTTAGGAGGCCACCTAGGAACTAACTCGCTTGGTCTAACAAATCAGCTAACTCGCTTGCGCAAAAAGTGGTCCTCGAAAATTTGAAATATTGGCATCATGTGTTTGCATAGCATTCGCCCAAATTTTGATAGAATTTCTAACAGGATTTAATTTGTACAGTAGCAATGCAGTACATACCATATAATTTTGTACATACTTGAGAAAATGAAATTTGCTAACATCCAAAGAAAGAATGATTCTGGACAATTGAGTTGTTGGTAGCTAGGGGCATATCTGCTTTCACAAATGACTCAGTAAAGCTAACTAAAAAACTGATTTCATATCTTTTTAGGGTGTTTGAAGCAACTTCTTGTTATTTGTCGTTTCCAAGTGTCTATTTCACCTAGTTTTGTTTCCCTTCCCTTATTTTTTCCCCTTTGCTTAACTTATTTCTCATATATATTATGTATACATGGTTTAATACATTCATTTATACAAATAAATATATGCAATGAATAAAAGTATGTATGAAATATATCAACATGTAGACAAATGTGTGATTGGATTTTGTGCAATGCACATCTATTCGCACATATATATCTTGTAAGTCAGCAAATGGATGATCAAAAGCAGATTTGACAATTACATATTGCCATGAAAGCCACTTGGCCAGGCAAGGCATTGTTTGAAAGTGGAATTGTTGAAATGATACTTGAACAATAAATACCAGGCAAGCTGTTGTAGGTTCCTCAAACTCTACTGATAAATGAATAACCATCAATATAGAAACAAGAACAGGCAAAGAAACATAAATTTCTCAATAGAGATATCTGTATGAATTTCAGATTAACAAAAGCACACCCATCAAATATTACAAAATAGAAACAGAAAATGAGAAGCAGAAGAAGAGAAAGAACTTCACCAATAAACGAAGGTGTCAAAATATTAGGTCGACAAAGAAATGGTAATATCATGAGATAAGCATTCAAATAAAAACATTAAGTTTTCCCCAACAAGCCTACTAAAACACCAATAACGATTCACAGACTCATTGATTATGCAAAAAGAAGTTATCAATTAGGTGAACAAACATCCCCAGCCTCAACCAACGCCATGGATAATGCTTTCTGGAGTAAAAAGACGATCAATGAATAGCATCGTCATGCACGCACCAAACACGGGTACTGAGATGCAGCACTGAATGTAATTGTCTTTTCGAAATACGTCAAAACAAAACCTAATTTGGAAAGCCAACCACAAAAAATCAACAAGTAAACCCAGATATTAAACATTTCACAGGATGACTGCGAAGAGAAGAACAAAGGGCAAAAAACTTACCTCTGTAGCCCAATTATCGCAGCTGCCTTCAAAGAAAACCAGAAGGTGCGAATTAGTTTGAAATTTCACTTAAAAAACCGTCTGGAAAGAGGGGTTGCCCGCTATTATCTGAGAGGATTCAACGATCAGTTGAAATAAACTACGGGACTTCTATCGAAATGTCCTTAAAAGATCGAATATTTGATTTATGAGTTACTTCCACGCATTCCATTTGTTCGTTTGTAGGTTTTGATTTTGAACTCAAAATAAATAGGAAATATTAAAGGGTGCGGTTTGTATAGAGCCTAGGCTCTCAACAATCAATTAGAAAACCTTCAAATAGTATCAAAAAATGTGGTTTTAATATTTGAAATGTTTGTCATAGCCTTAAAATATCTTTTTATATTTATTTATAAAATTTAAAGCTTCAAAAATAGTGTAGATCGACAGATCTATGAAAATCTTGAAAACTGACTATCCAAAAATGCATTACAAAATACTATTTCCAAAACTTGAAATCCATTTATTTCTCATGTCCATGCTTCTTGATGTTGAGATGATCAATTTGAAGATATTTGAACATCAAAACAACCTCTTCTAGTGAAATTTTTGAGATAGGCTCAAATTTGATTGTTTAGAGCCTCGACTCTATATAAACTTTTCCAATATTAAATAGTTCATTATTTTGATAAATGTTTTATGTACTTTTATTGTTTTAGTAAAACAAATGGAAATACCATTACTGGTTCGCACCTTTTTACAAAATCATTAAGGGGTCGGTCATATTCGTTAGGGAGTATTCTTCAGTTTGGTGAGAAAAACAAAAGAATTCGGTACTTCAGCAAATTCAAGGGAAGACTTCATTTTTTAAAAAAAAACTTAATATAAATAAAAGAAAGATACTACAAAACGCGTATAAGCGAAAATGAACAGCGATTTCGCCTACCTCTCATCACCATCCAAACTTCATCGCACGGTTACAATTGTCCAGTAGTGTTTCAATTTTTATTTTTTTTACTAATCAAAATGATCTGAAATTTGGAC